ATCTTAGATACATCTCGAACCACAGAAAATGCAATATGCAGCCTGCCATACGAAGAAAAATAATAATTCAGAATCAAAATATAAAGTTATTAATACAGAACCCCATGGAGTGTAATCTCCTATAACACCAACCTAGAAGGTAAAAACAACTCTCAGGAAGTTAAAGAAAACACAATAGCATAACAACTCTACCAGCAGACAAAGGTAATTACACTATAACTATGGATAAATGGGAAAAGACATTAAGCTTTTAGCTCTAAGATGGACACTACTTCAAGATTAAGTCTAACCCTACAATTAATACATACAAACGAATGACCGATTGTTAAAAACATTCAAATGAATTGGGAAACAGAAACAGACAACCAACTAACAAAACACTACAGCACTATCACACGCATCTGTAGTTTACGTATATTTCACAGACAAGGCTATCCTCTCTGCCCCATAGTTAACTACAGAAATTCACCATGTCATCCTTTAGCTAGACACTTTACCGTCATAAACAGATAAAACATCCTCTTATGTTAAGGTACGGAAATTCACAATGTCATCCTTTAGCTAGACACTTTACCGTCATAAACAGATAAAACATCCTCTTATGTTAAGGTACGGAAATTCACAATGTCATCCTTTAGCTAGACACTTTACCGTCATAAACAGATAAAACATCCTCTTATGTTAAGGACTCACTTTACTTTGTAGAGATTATAGAAACAACTGTGATAACGTTACAAGATACAATGATCAGTTTTAACTTATCCAGCTTCTACATTCTTGAAACGTTACAAATACTCAGCTTGAAAATCATAACGTACCTAACTGAGAATCTCCACGATAATAGAACTCACAACGTTCTATGTCAACCCAACTTACTTCCAACACGAATAAAAATACTACCAGCACAAGTAGGCCTAGCCACGGGCTTATCATTATCATATATGGCACACTTCGGAGATAAAGCTCTCAAAACAACCACTCTGTGATCCAGGATTTGGCTCGGATACGCATACGTAATATAGCCACACTCTATACCAAGATTATAGAATTCATAAACTACTTGAACAGACACCATCCAGTGTTACAACTCAAGAGAGAAATGGAAAAGAAAAAGATAGCAAGCTCCCATTTCTAGAACTTATGACCATCAAAGCAAATAACTCATATACTACAGAAATTCACACGAAATTCATAGGTACAAGTAAATACCTCGGCTATAAATCAAACCGCTCAAACAGTATAAAGACGTACCTCATAGACTGCCCAATATTCAGAGAGAACAAGGTTTGTAATTCCGAAGATTCTAAGAAGAATAAAGAAAACACATCACGACAACCTATCCTTATAACGGGTACCCTGAAAATTTGATAAAGGGTATAATAAAGAAGATGGACAACAAGAATAAGCAGGAAAAATATTACAAACACACGACCACTTTACTCTTTCTTGATTTAAGTATCAAAGGGATGAGAACCCGGGCGAGATAACTGCAAACTTTCCTTTCTAATGAGAAGACCGAGGATCAAATTCCGGTTTTTGTCACCATATATAATCCATTCCTTGAAGACAGTTGAATTATGGGATGCACAGTAATTACTAATTAGTGACTAATAATAGTAAAAATGTTAGTACCTTGACTTATGTAATCGTATAAAATAGCTATAATTTATATCAGATCGACAAAAAGTTCTAAATTTCTTAAAATTTGCTTATTCGTTTTCTAAGATACCCTAACTATAAACTCGGATTTCGCATTACAAGCAAATAGCGACTCCTAGAAACGTACGTATATAGAAATCTCCACCTGCCCACCACGAGTATCGAAACCCGGATTCTGGCGTTGTAAGTCCGCAGACATACCGCTGTGCCACTAGGAGGGGGGTGTAAGTGTTGTATCCAGAAACTTTAATCTTGTTGCATAAATGAAAATCCTGAACGAACAAAATAATTTTTCCATTTTCTAAACTCTTTATTCTTATAGAATGTACGCTTCAGCAGCTCATTGTGTAGCTTTGTGCTTAATTACAAACAAACAAACAACATTTACATACTGATATTTCCTGGAAACATCTTTACTAATCGTTGGGTATACATTGTACATTTCGATGAGTCAGACAAGTCAAAAAGTTTAGTTTTATTGCCTTCTTGCTAGTATTTATTATTATTGACATTTCTGTAGACTAACATATACTAATGATCTTACTGATCTTTTAATAACGATAATTCCGTTCGTCAGGTAAATAGTAGAGGAGTTAAAGCAAGTGGAATGAACATGATTCGGAGTTGTGTACGCGTTCTCAGTTCTTATTCACTTACTTTAGCCGAGAAAACGACGCATCGATCAACCACGACAACTACAATAGTTTAACCGTCGTCTTTGACAGAAATGAGGCTGCTCTGGAAAGTGCTTCCGAATACTGCATTCATTGGCTGAGCTTTTCAACAGAAACACTGTTACAATTAGCTTTGACGTTTCAGCTTTCTTGTAAATTTCATTGTTTACAAGCATTGTTTTACGCAGAAATGTCAGTATTAAGGAAACTATATATTTATCTTAAATACAAATGAACAGATAGACAAGAAGATACAGAGATATTAATATTAACCTCCGATGAGAGCAGGCTACTTAGCTTGATCAAAAATTAAAACTAACTCGATAATAAGTAAAGCTAATTACATATACTGTTCTTACATTCTTACTTATAAAGATTAGAAGTTATTATTTCATAAGTTGAGTACTCTCGCTGCTAGCGACGTTTTCGGCCTTAAACCCAATAATACTACCCGACGACGAGGTTCGGCTAGCTCAGAACATATTGGTTAGTTCTTAATCCATATACTAAGCTAACAATACATGACAACCTATATACTAAAATTATGACAATAAACAATAAATAATAATAAACATATGTATATTAAATATCCTGACAATCAATGTTAGCGAAAGTTGTGTGCCTTACTTAGGGAACACATACATATCAGTTGTTAGGCTTATGTACTCTCGTACATATAATGATAGATAGTTATATAGGCCACTAGGTAAGTGTACAGATATACCTTAACATTTGTATTTAATAAATATTTGAAAAATAAACGGAGATACTACTTTCCCAGTACAAACTTCTAATCTAATAACGTTTATTTGATACTTGTGTTTTCAAGTAATTCATTAGTTTATGCGCAACGGCTAGGCCAGAGACTTCTAGAGTTCAGATATAGCCGTCCATAATTTGAATAAGTGATCAGAGGGAAGGCAGCCAACCAGTGGCATCCACTCGGCTTACAAGAGCTTTGTATGGCTTCTAAAGAAAAAACCGGATTGACTGTCATTCTCACAACGCACCCACAGCTGAAAAATGTGAAGATGTTCAGCGGCAGTGCTGCACAAACCTTGGATCTTTCGATTCTCAGCCAGAACTCTAACCACTGAGTCACCCCAGCTCTGATATTTAGTTAAACCATCTGTATGTATACTATTTATGTAATACTTAAAGCTAATGAGGTTGTGTTTTTACTGAGAAACAAGTCTCACGTTTTGAAAGCAAAAGACAGAATTGTCTATTAAAAACGCTTAATCAGAAAAATGATTGTTCATTAGAAACAAAAGTAACAAACCGTATCATATTTTAAAAACCTTGTAATGTTCAATAACTGAGCTGCTATTATCCCAATTCTAGCACTCGAAAAAAGTTGAATTTTACCGAATTCGTAAAGTGCAACAAGGAAAAGCTAAAGACTGTGTATGTGAAAACTTATAATCCGAGCGTTTTATGATAAATCTCATAAAATTAAACACAGTTATTATGAATGAAAGTTAGCCTTTATAGTCATGTTTTTATTGATTTTCTAAATATACCTTTTATGTATCACGAGAGCCCTACTGAATGTTTTCTAACATTTTAGTGAACGAATCTTTGATAAAAATTCAGAAAATATAAATGCCATACACCTATAACAACAATACATTTTAGACTGTGTGATAACCAGATACAAACAATGTTAGCACAATGTTTATACTACATAGAAGTCATGAACCTATAACAACAATCCATTTCTGACTAATTTTCCTCCATCTTTTATTTGTGTCGTTTGACAACATAAAGTTAGCTTCATCGATATTTTCCAGAATAGGCTTACAAAATAACTTTGGTTGATTGAAATACCTTCTATTATTAAAACATAATTTTTACCTTGAGAGGATATGATAAAAAAACTATAGGTTGTGGTTTTACAAGTTGAGTTTCATGTGGAAAGAAAACAATTTATGGTTAGAACGGAAATGGAAATAAATCAAACCTTTAGTTATAGATATGTTGTTATTATACATTATAAACTGTACTACACTATAATATGGTGATCACAGGGTTGTTTTCACAGGATTCATTCGGTGGTCTCGACAGTTTTATTGACAAATTTATACATGACTTTCAAGTTTCCAAATTGTATGTGTTCAAACTTAACACTGTGTCAGCATTGATTTTCTTTTGACCTTTGAGTACAAAGGTTTGTGACAGGTGGACGTAAATAACAGGTTTTGAGCCAACTTAATGAACAATGAGTAGAATATTTACATTTACAGAGCAAGCTTGCTACATCAAGAATTAGGTTCTATACTATCGCTTACATTCCACTGTTGTGCAAGTTAAGCTACAATCTCGGCTTCGCGTGAATGAGATTGTTTCTTAATGACATAAGTATAATTTAATCTTTAAAGAGTCATAGCAACGTACTTCAAGAGATTGAATTAACACAGACTAGAAGATTTCTTTCGCAAACTTATTTATTTGGAGAAGTTAAATTGAGTATAACGGTTGCACATCTTAATACAAACGGAGATAATTATGAATATGACATTGAAAGATTAATGATTGGATATATAAATCAAAACGGCGAAGATGGCATAGCTATGTTACAAACGTCTACTAATGATAGTACGTACATATATATATATATAAATAACTGAGCGAATGAACACCAAACTTCAAAAAGAAGTAACTTACCTGTTGTAAAGGGGAACAAGTACATTAACAAAACCAGAACCTCGTACATCACTGACTAATCTGAATGTTCCTAATCTCCAAGTGTTATGAACATAAGTTACTATGATTTAAACCTGCTATTTAAGCGCAAAAAAAATCTCTCTTTTTCTGCGGTTGATCAAAGAAAGTTCACGAAGGACAAATTTGAAACATTTCATATATATTAACCGAATGGACACACTTTCTCATCAGAAATTACCCCAACATCTGCCACAGCCGTAGCGCTGCACGACGCTCTATTCCAGCTCCTTCTGATCAATAGCGGCATACAGACTGCTGATAGGCTGTTTCGCTCGTGAATTGTAGAGAAACTCGACAGCCAGATTGGTGGCGATGTTCGACTTGTGTACGCTTGTTTCTTAATAGCATCATCTCCAGACTATTTAACAGTTGAGAAGCGTAGCCTATATTTTAAGATAGAGATGTGTGGGTTTTGCACCAAGAAGAGGGAAACCTAGTTTATAATGTGTTTAAATAGTCAGTTGCAGAATATAAGTATACATACAAACATATCACAAATCTCTGTGTAACAGAACTAATATTTAAGATAATACACTCTTTATCTGCGCTGTCTCTAATTATAGCTTAATCTATTCTGTCTTCCTCAGGTTATGCTCAACTGGCGGGATATATAATGTTTATATACTATAATTTTGAAGTTGTAATCATCGCATGATAAAGTTGATAGCGTGGTTTGAGTTAAGGTAAATCCTATCAAGTTTTAAGGACTTTAACAAAACAAAAGGAATAAACTACTATGTTTCTACCTTTCTCTGGAATCCTAGCACCAATCCCTTTAACTCTAACTATAGTCAGTTCTCCTTTATTATAACTCTAGCACACAAATAGTCAGTTTACCTTTCTCTTTAACTGTAGCACAACCGTAGTTAGTTCTTTCTCCCTTTCATTTAACGTCAACCGAAACCGATTTTACAATCCCTTTAACTATAGCACAACCTTAGTCAGTTTATCTTCTCTTTAACTGTAGAATAATTGTATTTAGTTTTACCTTTACCTTTAAATTTAACCCTAGTCACTTCTCCTTTTTCTTTAACTATAGCACAACCTTAGTCAGTTTATCTTCCCTTTAACTGTAGAATAACTGTATTTAGTTTCACCTTTACCTTTAAATTTAACCCTAGTCACTTCTCCTTTCTCTTTAACTATAGCACAACCTTAGTCAGTTTATCTTCCCTTTAACTGTAGAATAACTGTATTTAGTTTCACCTTTACCTTTAAATTTAACTTTAGTCACTTCTCCTTTCTCTTTAACTATAACACAACCTTAGTCAGTTTCTTTGTTCTTTAACTGTAGCACAATTAGTTCTCCCTTCCTTTTAAATTTTAGATAACTGTAGTCAGGCCCCCTTCCCTTGAACGCTAGGACAAAAATTGTCAGTTTTAACTACTTTTTTAACTTTAGCATAATTTTTGTCAGTTCCCCTTCCCCTTTAACTGTAGAAGAAAAATAATCAGTTCCCTTTCGCTGTAACAATATTCAGTTCACTTTTCCTTTAATTCTAGTTCAATCGTAATCAGTTTCACTTCTCTTTTTACCTCTAAGAAGAACATAATCACCTTTCCTTTCTTTCTAGCGTAACCGTAGTCAGTTCCCTTCCTCTTTAATTCTAATATAATATTAATATTTTTCTCATTCCCTTCAATTCTAGCACAAAAAATGACTTTGACTCTAACACAGCCTCACTCACTTTTCATTTTCATTTAATTCTAGCACAACAGTAGTTATTTCGCATTTTCTTTTGACTCTTGGAAAACTGTAGCTGGTTCTCTTTCCCCTGAACTCTTGCACAACATTACCAGTTTTCACTTCCCTTGAACTTTAGGATAACCTTAGCCACTTTCTACTTCCACAAAAGTATTATTAGTTTATACTTTCCTCTTAACCTTGGCATAATTGTATCTTTAATTTTATCCTTCTTTCGATTTTAAACTAACTTGTTCGTTTCAATGACTTTTATAAGTTTACAAAAGTTGTTTTTAATATTTTTTATCATGTAATATTTCCTACAAATATTTATGACGTTCATATTACGTGTAAACAAGTATAGTAGCTAATCATATTAACCTACAAATCTCCAAGAAGATCTTTACTTCAATACTCGAGAGTACTTTATGTATGGTACTCTCTAGTAAAACTGCAGCCAAAAGGTAAGTATTAAAGTCTTCAAAAGGTTTAGAAATACTTATTTACTAGACAATAAACTGAAAATGGATATGTAGGAAGGAAAGGATCAGACACAGATGTAAAACAATGGAAATCCATTTTTATTTCTTACGTGCTTGAACAACCAAAACGTACTGGGGTTGGCACTACATTAAATGGCTAACTTTTAGTTTGTGACTGCCGGAGTATGAAAGAGTATGTCTTAATCGGACAGGAGATTGCCTGAGTATGTCTTTTAAATCAGCCCACAACCATAATACTGTATCAGGCATCCGACATCAGTGACCTTCGACATTATGCATATTCAAAGAGAAGTTACCCCCCAAGTCCATAGTAAGTTGTACAAAATCCTGTACCATCCCTCCACTTGGGATACGGACAAACGAATGTAAGTTCCTGTGAAATGGTCGCTGTGGTAAATAACGCTAGCATAGCCCAAAGCGATGGTTAAACCAAGTCTACTACGACTTATACCATTTTCAGAAACGTTACTAAACGCTGAGCATCTGGAAGAAAGTTTTTCATAAAATATTCCAAAATAAACATAAATGAATATATATTTACTTCGAATTACAGAAAGATTAATGGGGCATGTGAAAACTGACATACACACTTGAAACGATACTATAAGAACTGGCATTAATTCCTTTTAAGAGCTGTTTGCGACCTAAAATAAGCACGTTTGTATTCCAAATCTATATAAAAGAATTACAAGGTAAGTATCGCAACTTTTCCTGAAGGATATTACAGTCGTAAAAGACATAATAATATGAAGTGAAAACTTCCATAGAACATTGTGTATCTAAAAAATGTATTTCCTCAAATAAAAGTAGAAAAGCTCTTGGTGATCACTTTCTTTGTATGAATTTATAATTTACGCCTCAATTTGATTTATAACAACGTTTGGATATATGTAGGTAACACAATGTATGTTTCAAAATAGTTCGTAATATACTTCTGAGCCAACCCATTTATTATTTGTGTTTGAAGCTAAGAATTGTAACATCATCGACGTTATAAATTGAGTCGTAAGTTTTCATAACGTTTGTCCGTGAACGAATTGGTAAAAGTAAAAAAAAAAAAACTACATTTCTAAGTAAACATAAAAACATTATTTTCACGGCTTTCATTTATTTGAGAAAAAGAAAAGCAGTCAAACTTTATGTTTACACAACTAGTCAGTAACGATGGGATAAAAATTGATTGTACCAATTGCGACCATGTACCTAGACTTAACTGGCTTTCTCCAGACATCCAAACATCCACACTATTTTACTAGTTAATCTCAAGGGGACAATAAAAGTGGTTTCATTTGACGACAGATAGGATAAAAACAAATTCGAACTTAGTAGTTAGTAGTTAGCTGATTTTTTTGTCTTTTTCACCGAACTTAAAAAACATCTTTATAAATTTCAGCCCTGACCATAAACTCCACTAACACACCAAACCGAATAAAATATCCACCATATCAAATCTATGGGGAAAATATTAAATGTTAACTACCATTACAAAGCTAAGCCCAACAAAGGTTCTATATTTAAACGGTTAACCCAACTAAATTATTATCGTTACAAAGCTAAGTCACACAAAGTATCTAGAGTTAGACACTTAATCCACATCAAATATAAAATTAAGCCAGAAAAAGGTTCTAGTTTTAAAAGGTTAGTTCATACGAATTACTACCGTTACCAAGCTAAGCGAAACAAAGATGCTAGCTCTCAAATAGTTAGTTCACATGAAATACTACCGACACAAAGCTACGTCAAAGAAAGGTTCTCGCTACAAATAGTTAGTTCACATGAAATGCTACCGACACAAAGCTTAGCTAAAGAAAGGTTCTCCCTACAAATAGTTAGTTCACATGAAATACTACCGACACAAAGCTAAGCCAAACAAAGGTTTTAGCTTTATATAGTTAGTTCACATGAACTACTACCGACACAAAGCTACGTCAAAGGTTCTAGCTTTAAATAGTTAGTTCACATGAAATACTACCGACACAAAGCTAAATCAAAGAAAGGTTCTCACTGTAAATAGTTAGTTCACATGAAATACTACCGACACAAAGTTTAGCCAAAGAAAGGTTCTCGCTACAAATAGTTAGTTCACATGAAATACTTCCGATACGAAACTAAACCAAACAAAAGTTTTATCTTTCAACAGTTAGTTCACATGAACTACTACCGACACAAAGCTACGTCAAAGGTTCTAGCTTTAAATAGTTAGTTCACATGAAATACTTCCGATACGAAACTAAACCAAACAAAAGTTTTATCTTTCAACAGTTAGTTCACATGAACTACTACCGACACAAAGCTACGTCAAAGGTTCTAGCTTTAAATAGTTAGTTCACATGAAATACTACCGACACAAAGCTAAGTCAAAGAAAGGTTCTCGCTACAAATAGTTAGTTCACATGAAATGCTACCGACACAAAGCTTAGCTAAAGAAAGGTTCTCCCTACAAATAGTTAGTTCACATGAAATGCTACCGACACAAAGCTTAGCTAAAGAAAGGTTCT